CAGGTCTGTTTAACAACGAACATTTTGTTACGGCAGCGAGTTAGAAAATATTATACTATGTTAAAATTATTATACATGTTAAAATATATATAGATGAAAGGCTTTCTACTAGAATAGACCACAGATTACTTTTCACACACAAAAGAAAATTTATCCCTCCTAAAACATTTTTTTTAAAACTTGGGAACACAACTTTCACACTTTGTGGAAGTTGTGGTGCCTCATTTTCCCTTCTTCGACTGCAAAAGAGCTTTCCTGGTCCTACTGGAGCCCTTGTGACAGTTTTTCCTCCTCTTGTGGGAGTTCAGCACATGCTGCATGTGCTCCAACCTGGCTGGAAAGCCGGACACAAGCACCATTGCTGGGACATGACAGAAGATCACTTGCATGCAAAACTTGATTTCTCTTCAGTAATGAAAAAACTATTCGCATCTCCACACCAAGTATTTGGTTCATCTTTCGATTTTATCTTTTATACTACAGTAACACAAGGTTATGTTGGAACTTTTCTGATATTTTTCAATGCAAAAGGAACAACTACAGGTTTTCTACATATTATGCAAACTCCCTTTCCCCACCACTCGGATGTATTAATGTTTGAAAAGTTTGAAAGCAGGCAGGGAAAACTCATTTATTTCTGCCTCCAACACAAGCATCACAGCTCTACAAAGAATGCTGCAAATAAGAGTGAATCCAGACCGCAGAATAAAGCTCTCTGCAATGTGGCACGGTGGTTTCTGCTTTAACGATAGGTGGATGCAGTCTGCATTGGTTTGACAGTCCCCCAGCCAAGGAGGCTTTACAGAACGAGCGGGGAAAAGAGGCGCAGGGGAGGAACGCGGGCCAGGCTGCCTCAGCCTCGGTACCACAGCCGGGGAAAGGGCCTTCCGGAGACGGCTGGAAGGGGCAGCGTCCTCGGCAAAACCGCTGCCAGATGAGTGCGGCTGAGAGGAGAGCGCTGCTGTGAAGAGCGCTGGCACACACCAAACAAGCGAGGTAACCAAGGCCTTGCCTGAAGTACTTGCCATTTGGACACAATAAAGTTTCTTTTCCTTTCTATTATTTTTCTTTTTCCCTTTTTTTTTTTTATTTTTTGTGAATGAGATGCTTTCTGAGACAAATGAGAACGCTCAGGAATGCTCAAAACCTGCCAAAGGCTTAGGACACAACAGAGCAAACCGTGGCAAACAGAACTTTAATGCTACCTACATATCCATGCTTTGAAAAGCAAACGTAACTTAAATTGTGAGGATTCAATATGTTGCATAGGGAGACGAGAGTAACCTGAAATGAAGCCAAGAATTCTCCAAATTCAGCATGCTACCTTAAACCGCTATCTTTTCACGGAGATGTTATACAACATGGGTATTTAAGCTTATGATGATAAGCTACCCCCCAATATTCTGCAAGTATATTATCAAAGTAAACAAATTAAAGCAATTCAGATTTAAAAGCAAGACTTTAACGTGTGTTTCATAAAAGTATAGGGCAATACAGCTGATGTAATGCAAGCATCTTTGGAGGCCATAGAATTAGTCAGATTTTAAGACTTTTGCAGCAGGTTTTCACAAATTTCATTTTCTGAAATGTCATTTGGTGTTATAATGAATATTCATAGGTTCTGGTCCTTTCTAAAACTAAAAAGAGGTTATCTTGAGTCCTGTTCCTTTTCTCCTTAAAACTTTAATTTAAAAAGGCTTGAACCCTTTCAAGTACTTCCTACCAAATTCCTTCGCTTGGACCAAGGTATCTCTTGGGTATTACTTTGACAGAATGAGGTTTGTTTAATGATCATAGCATTAAAGCCTTATGCTCTGAAGACATGCATTAGCACACTAGGGAACATGGTGTAAAAAACAAGAGGTGAAGCAAGGTTTCTTTTCCTTCCTTCCAACAAACTGTACACCAACAAGCACTTTCATAAGCATCTTAACTTTATTATTTTTTCAACAGATCTTTTCCCCCAAATGATTACTCCTTGGTCATTCTTTCTTGCCCAGTCTTGGTCCTCCTAATGCTGAACACAAAAAATCTTAGTTTATTTTAGTCATGGAGGATAAGACTGTCAAAGAACTCATATCTCAAAAAGAACTCCCCTGTCATTGAAAAGTGGTGCTGTCTGGTGAATTCAAATCCACTTCATCTGTTTCGATTTTATGCCTGTTGTCTCTCATCTTCCCACCATGAATCATGGCACCCGGGTCCATCTTCTTGGTAATGTCCCTGCACACACTGGGGGTTGCTGTTAGTCACCCCTCCATCCCCAGATGTCACCTCTTCTCCAGGCAGAACAGGCTCAGATCCCTCAGTCCCTCTGCACAGGACCAGTGCTCCAGCCCCAGCCATGTACGTGACACGCAGCTGAACTTGTTCCAGTTTTTCAATGCCTTACTAATGGAGAGGATCCAAAAACTCTGATCTAAAAGAAGCGCAGGACAAATGGGGGATAAGGGCTGCCCTTCACCTGCTGGCTCTGCTCCTTCCATTAACCTCTGCCAGGGACCAATGCTTAAGGACAACTCGTTTTCAGCGAAGCTGCTCCCCAGGCAGTCAGTCCCTGGCTAACAGCAGTGCAACAGGTTCTCCCTTCCCTAGGAGGGGGGACAAAAGGCAGGATCCTCATTTATCCTTGTCGAGTTTCCCAAGGTTGGGACACTCCTCTAGCCTGCCTGGGGTCCTTGGAATCGGCAGCCCGGCCCATGACGCTCCCTACACTTGGGTGTCACCTGCGTTCTTGATGAGAGTCCACTCTGTCCTGTCACTGCCTCGAGGACATGGATAATATGAAGCTCCTTCTCCTCTGTTGCTGTGTACAACAACAGCGTAAGTATCTTTTTCTTATGCATCTACAGCTGGTCATTTGTCTGGAGTGGTCTATAAGAAAGAGTTCTGTACAAAGACCCTTTGTTTGGTATTTCTGCCGCCAAACGAGCTCACTATAATTCCTGGCTCATGACCATATCTTAGATTTTTCTCTTCAAGGTCTAAACAACATTTTCTTGTCATTTTCAGTTCCTCTCCATCATATTTTCCATATTAAAGAAGCTCGTAAAGTCATTAAAATTCCAGATAAATTTTCAACAATAACACCACTTTTCCATAGTCATATTAAAGTGTATCAGAAATTAACCCCACTGCCAGGGCTTAATCTTTATACTAGTTAAATAGAACAGTTTCATTGCTCTTTTCACAATCCACATTTGTGAGCCACAAACTCACTGTTCTTCTACTTTATTAGGTTTCAAATAATTGAGATCACAGAGATCAACAGCCCTATAAACATCCTTCTGATTTACTGATTTCATTCAGGATATACTCACAGTGTACTTTCTTAAAGTCTTTAAAATATTTATCATATTTCTTCTTTTCTTCAGCGGTTACTGTATTGAAGCCATTTTCTTTACTGCACACTTACTTTCTAACACATATACCAGCAGTCTCCTTGTATCTCTTCTGTGCAAAGTATCAAAGATTCTCCTGCCTCACAAAGGTCTATAAAGTTTCAAGTTTTGCACATCTAGAAAGAAACTATGAGATTTCTGTGTAGGTTTAAATTAAAAGGAAAAAAAAGTTTCTTCCCTTCAACCTCTTCTTATAGTGCTCTAATTCCACAAGAAGAAAACATGTAACATAATAGTAGAAAAAGTGAAATAAAAACTTAATTTCCTTTTTTTTTCTGGCAACCTGCAGCAGTTCAGTTCTGCACACATGGGCAAAGACACAGACCACATTCTTATGGATTGCATTTACAACACTGAGATACAGATGAAAAATTAGAGGAAATGGCCAAGCACTAAAATTCAACTCTTACTACTTCAATACAAAGCATATACATACACACATATATTTATGTGTAAGGCTACATAATGAAAGACAGTCAGTGGTTTAGTTTGCCATGTTGGCACTCACTCATATATTATCAGAAAGGAGAGAAGAGAAGTAGGAGTCAATGGAAAATTTGCATACCAGTATTGCATACAGTCACCGTGAAGAACAAATTAATTTGCCACATTACACTTTTCACAGATTAATTAATGCCAGGGATATGGGTAGAAAATACTATTTCACTCCCAAATTACATTTGCGTTTGTATTAATCAAGTTATTTATTATTTTAAGACAGGAAACAAATATTGAGGGTTGGCATTATTTTGGGGACAAACTGACAGAGGAGCAAACATTTTTTAGACTAGAGAAGGAAAATATGTACATGGGACAACCCCAATTCAATAGGGATAAGGCTGCAGGAAATAAGACGGCCTCTACTCCAGCTACACTTGCGATAGAAGTCAACTTCACTGGCAAGAAATAACAGTTTAGACTGTCATTAGGGAATAATAACTTCAAGGATCATAAGACACTGGAATACAGAGATGTAAAAATCTCCATTGCAAATTTGCTAGAACAAGCTAGACAAATATCTGTCAGAAATTAGTCTGATACGTTGGTCCTGCTTCACTTCTAGTGAAGATCTCAGTTGGGCTTCCTTTACATCCTACATGTTGATGATTTCAAAGCTGAATTAAAAAACAATAATCTCAAAAGAGAATTTGACCTTCTCAAGGTGAACATCTCTCAGAAAAAAAAAGTGGAAAGAAAATCCTCATTTTCATTTTTTCCTCACAAGCCTTTTCTTAATTTTTGTGTTTTGTTTTGATTTGAAATGAATATTTCAAAAGTTAACTCCAAATTTTTAACAGTACAAAATAAAAAGCACACGAATAGATAGTCTCAGGATCCAACTCTTTTCCACGTACATATTATGGCTTGTTCTTTCCTCATTATATTAACCTTTAATAATCTGATATTTTTTCAGCTGTAAAAGATCACCCCCTCACTACAGCAAATGCAAGCTCTTATATTCCCGCTTTCCCAAACAATTCTTGAGTCATACTACCTATCAAAAAAGTCCTTAGTGTACAGTCATAATTTATACTACAATATTATACATGATTCGCCCCATTTAAGGAAGTAAAATATTTTTGATATTGCATACTTTACCCGTTATGTCATGCTGTTTGAATGACTCACTGTAGATTTGATACTGATTTGGGCAATGTTTCTTCAACCACTTGCAGACATCCTGCTGGCTCCACAAAGCTACTGGCTTGGTCAGCTTCACAGTGCCAGACTAGAAACAAAAAATAAGAAAATCAATTATTTAGTCCACACACACATTTCAGAAATTTGACTTAATCAAACATCTGTAAGGCATCATACAAAATAATGCTGTATAGGAGTTATTTTTACTGGTAGTTCTTCAGTGATCACCAGCACATTGCATGAGACTCAGCTATTCAAATGTATTAGGCAGGAAGCACACGCACAGAAAGGCTAACATTATTCTGCATTGTAGATATATTCCTTGCATCACAAAAACATTTTACCATCTTACTTGAACAGTTAAGATCCCTTCCAGAATAATTTTGATGGTGAAGCAGCAGCTTCTTCCATCTGCTTTGTCACAATCAGCAAAAAGCCAGTCAAAGCTACCAAGTCAACACTGACTTTTCAAAGGTGAAAGGTCTAATTCCAGTGCTGCAGTTTCCTATTATTGTCTCTCAGTAGCTCTTAATCTGAAATTATTACCAAAAAAAAAGGCAAAAAAGAGTGCATTTTTTTCTTAAGTTTTTGTGAGTCTTGTTTTTTAAGTCAGTTCAGAATTACTACAGTTAATTAGTGATTCAGAATCTATTTGTTATCTACTCATAAGCTTTTTAGATAAACATATAAAAGTGTAATTTTGCTCATAACAACCGTGGCATAGCCGGAACAGGGAGGCTCTGGATTTTGCTTTTTATGGGTTTGTAACAAATACAGTGAGTTTACAGATGAAAATTAGACTCGTGAAAATGTAAACCTGCTTCTGTTCCTCATCACATCTGTGCAGGCAGCACTGTTGCACAAGGTAGAGATTAGACACAGCAGAGAGAACCTGGAGGAGTGAATAGTCCTAATGGGAAGAATCCGTCTTGAACTCAGTCCCTGGCTTGGAGAACAACCTCTTGACCTGTTAACTGCAACAGACAGGAGCTCGGCCCTGTGGAAAGTTGAGTTCTGGGGAACCCTGGCACCACAGAACAACTGATCCCCATGCAGGGCCCATGTCAGGTGATCCTGTTTCACAGCAAAATCACATTATAACGTAAATCAGAACTTTCTAAAAATACAGCTATTCTCACATGATAGCCCGAGCAGCTGCAGAAACAAACAGCTGGATGGCTGGCTGGTTTACTATTAAATGCTGTAGCAAACTTGAGAGAGATACATGACTACAATCAGCATTACAAATACAGAAAGAGTGATATTGAATAAGTGCTCCTTTAATGACTTTCTATATGGCAGTCACTATCCTGAGCCAAGCCCTAGTGCTCTCTCAAGACTATATATAAAGTTAAATTTAGTTACATAGTCCTCCCCAACACCCAAAAGCTAAGGGGGTCCAGGCAGCTGAAGCTCCTTCATCTACACAAATGTGGAAAATTAATTATAGAAACACAGGTCATAACCACCAAGAAATAGCACTGCCAAGTGCCACCTCTCACCGAAGCCTGGGCAGCACATCAAAGACATCAGCCCAAATCAGGAGGGGTTCCTGCAGGCAACGCCGAGCCCAGCGTGGAAGCGTCAGGCGCTGGCTGCACCTGAGGGCAACAGTTGCAGCCTTCCTCTTCACAGTGAGGCCCATCTGTGCGGCCCAGTTCAGACACAGGCCGAGCAGAATGTCATTATCGGGGCAATCACACTCCCCAGCTCCAATATGGAAAGGTTCTGCAACAAAGCACGGCTCCAAACCGGTAGTGCCAAGGAAGAGCAGACTACACCCTGATGAAGGGAGAGCTGGTGCTCTCCGTTCACACCCAGCACCTCAGCCAACACGGCTTCAAGTTAGGGGGCGGATTTTCAAGGGCTTCTGGCTTTTAGGCTTTTTTTTTTTCCTATAATTCTCCTACATTCACTGTCATATGAAGTGGGAAGAACCCCTGCTTACCATTTTAACTGTCTCCTACCTATTAAAGAAAAAAAAGACTATTCAATACTTTCATGAAAATTCAGTTTTATAACATACTATCTGAAAAAATATATTAACGGTTCAAAAATATCAAACACATGTATTAAGTCAATTGCATTATCATATGTATAAAGCTGCATTTTATTTAATCCAACAACTCCATCCCACACATATATATTTTAAAATATAAAAATGGTGGGTTCTACAAGACTACAACTACCGTTCACAGGAAGGACCTGTGGAGGTCACCTCGTGCAACCACCCTCCTCACCCCGTGTCACCTTAAGCATGTTGCCCAGCACTATGTGCAGGTGGTTTCTGAGTATCTCCAAGGATGGAGACTCCACAGTCTTTCCTGGCAGTGGGTCCATGTGCATCTCAACAAGCAAACAAAAAATTCAAGAATATATATTCAAAGTAATTTCTTTTTTTTTTTTGCAACACAGTCTGTGTCTGGGAGACCAAATGACCTTGCATAAATGTGCAGTTATTACTAACAATAAATGTCTAAGATTGGACACTGCTGATATAAAGGTGTGGGAACACTATTTTATAGATTTATTTCATGATTTTGTTAAAGAACTGAGTCTACAGAATAGAACCTGTTTCAAAGTATCTGCTCCCATGTTGCGCATGCAAAATACCTTCCCTCTCCACTTCCTTGGGTGCAGCGGCAAATGATTAAGAGCTCTTTTTTCTGTAATGACAGGACGTGAAGGAGAAGGCATCTCAACCATTTTTCTCCATGGCAGATTCCCTTGATATTGCCAGACAGGGTTTATTCCCACATTTATGCAGACAATTTTGTCAGTGAGACCTTTTCAAAGTTGCTTTGAAATTTCCATTACTAGAAGTTAAAAGGACTGCAGCAGTTTTAAGCGATTTTACCCATAAAGGACATTGTGCAGAGATAGTAACTTAGGTCCAGGGAACCTCTCAGAGCCAAAAGTCTGACCGGCAAATATGTTGGGAATTTCTCACGTGCGCTTCTCCCTCTCTCTCTCTTCTTCAGTGCCTGGATGGAAGTTGAATAAATGGCACAAAAAGTAGAATTGAATATATAGTACAATGCACATTGTTTAGATTAACCTTTTCTGTTTTAGATAAAAACACTCTCACCAGAAACATGAATCCACTTTAAGCATCTTTAGGCTGCTCGTTACTACTACTCAAGTCTAAGAAGCAAGAGAATGAACTTCAATGAAAAGCCCAGTTAACTGATTTTTATTACACCCGCATATAAATGCATTTCCTTTGCGAATACATCAAAGGGGAAAAAAAAGGCAAAAATAGCCATGCAATAGTAGCAGTAGCAGTGTCTCTGCACAGAAATCCCCAATAAGAGGTTCAAGACTTTAACATCAGTGTCTCTACATGAATTTCTGCTTTTAAATTCTGAATTTAAAGATAAACATTGCTTTTAAGTTTTTTGAAGACTAACACTGTTAGCCTTGAAAAATAAGTTGTTAGTGGCTTTTCTTGTGCGTCACAATAACACATTAAATTGTGAGGATATACATACAAATTTATATAATATAGCTGACAATAGCTTTACAAGGTATTTGTTCCTATTCGGTAGAACAGAAGCGAGGAGAATATTTATTATAACTGCAGAGGATGCTCTTTCCAGTTCAGCAGCTATTCTCCTTTCAGAAGGCTTAAACACTGTTGCGTTACATCTAAATAACCAAGTTTATCAGCAATTACAGCACTAAAGCAACACTTCCCTCCACGCCTGTGGAACTGAAATGTGGCTGCAAATGTAGCTATTATGCAATGCAATGCCCAGATCACTGCATAGCAAATATACACTGCAATTCTTCACAGTCAGTGCTCAGAATTATAATGACTATAACATGTCCAACAAACTTGTATCCGCAGTGCAAACAGGCCTTTTTTTTTTTTTAACATAGACACTACAGCAACACTAAGCACTATGTTTAATTTTCCAATTCATAAGGGATGGATGAGTTGGAAGAATATTGACATTTTGAAGCAATGGTTATAAATAGTATTCTTATCATCTCTATTTTGGAATATCACACCCCAAATGTTCTTTAATCAGATCTCGAGAAGGCCGTTTATTAAAAAAAAAAAAAAACCCAAAAAAACAAGATGCACCTCTTTATCACAACACTCGTTTGTGAATTTCTACCCTACTTATACTAAAGATGCTCAGTATATCAAGGAACATGGCCATGACCACCATGACCACACAAACACACCTACAAGATATATATATGGAAGCTAAGAATATAAAAACAAGATAGATAGGTGGAAGATATATTATGTTATACTTTATTTCTGTTCATCATATAGTAGGACCAAACTGATATATCAAAAAAGAGGGAAAAAAACAAACCAGAAGTCTTCTTTTTTTCCTAACAAACTCATCCTAACATCACCCTTGGCTGGCAATGATTCCATAAACTTTAATGCTGCAGAACACTATGCAAGTTGTGTACCTTACATGGATTCAATGCATATAAAAGTATTTAGCATTCAGATCTTTTCTTGTATATTGAGCAAAAACCTGCTTCTTTAGAACTGTGTATCAAACTCTTTCCTCTGCATTCCCTAAACACAATTTTGGCAACGTGTACCTCTATAAAAACGACTATACTAAGACGGAAAAAAATAAATCAGCATACTTAATACATGACACTTAATTTTATGCTCTGTTTGTTCCATGATGCAGAGCATATGGTATTTAAAATCAGCAACTCAAGGAAAAAAAAAATATATATATATATATAAATCAAACTGACAGTTGGGACATCATTGGAAAGCGTGTTCCAGTGTTCAGAGGAGCATTAGCAGCCAAGCCCTGTGATTCCCACGGAGCACAAACAAGTGCTCACATCAGCCTTCCAGGTGCTGTTCATCCAGCCTGCCCATTTCCAAGGTCAATGGATTCACCACGACATCTTCATTTACTGTATTTTACACCAGAAAAAAACTAAAAGGATTCTTGCATTTTTGAGTAACAAAAAATTCAACACAACTATTAAAAAGAATTTATTCACTGTGATTCAAGTTAATTGAAAGAACTTTCCAAAACTTGCATTTGTGACTGTGCTCAAGACTCCAAAATCCAAGGAACGTGGAGATGGTTCCTC